TTAAATCTGTCTCGCTCATGAATGGTTACTAGTAATAATAATAATAATAACTTTATTTGTATAGCACTTTTTTGAAGAAATGTTCTTTACCTACACACTATAAACACAATAAAAAATAAGAGTAAAAGCAACATACGAGTTAGACAGAATGCAGCAATACAGAGATACTATTAAAAAGAGATTAAAAACAAACAAAGAGCTGATAGAAAACACTTAATTTGTCAAAAAGTTACGTTTGTATGATTTTTAGAAATTAAAAAAACAAAGAAATGAAAGAGAATTGTTTAAAAAGTTCCTAAAAATATAATGAAAACTCATCTCTGATGCAATATTCACAGAAAATAATAAAAATTAACCCAAATCACACTTTTACACAAACTTCCTGCAGTTATTGTGTTCACTGTTTGTGTTCATTGTTCAGTTTATCAGTTGTTATCTACTGTGGTTGTCATTATTGAATATAATATCAAATATGCATAAAATATAGTCAGTTTACTCACTGATAGAAAAGTCACTGCTTATCTAAAACTCAGTGTTTGGTTTGTCTGTTCTGGGTTTACTGTAGAAACTTGGCGGACTCCGCCACTAGAAGAGGACCCGCTCCCTCTGTAGATAAAAACGTCTCATTCTAAGGTAACAAAAACACAATGATTCTTATTATCAGGTGATTAAACACTAATGAAAATAAACCTGAAAATATTATATTTCTGACAATAAATAAATCCTCAATGTTTCACACTGGAGCTTTCATTTAAGTTTTGAATGCAGCAGTGTCGCAATGAAAATCCTTTGAAAGGGTTGAAAGTCCACCTCTGTGTGTGTGTGTGTGTGTGTGTGTGTGTGTGTGTAAGGAGGCGTGGTGTTTAGTCTACCCGCTCTTCCTTCCACTTCACCTCATTTACTGTTAGAACGACACAATGAGTGGACGGGTTGGAGACTTGAGCCCACAGCAGGATGAAATCTTAACTGAGGTAAAATATATATATTTAATTTAATCAATATGATTCGTATGGTTGATTGATTAAAGGCATTGATTAGTTCATAGTTCCGAATAGTTGTATCTCTGGTTGCTTTTGTTGTGGTAACACACTGATCCTATGGCAACTCCAACGTCTGCTGTTTATAGTGACATTGTTCTTATTTTTCAGATTCATATTTTACATTTAAAAAACAATATAAAGTTTATAAAACACAGTGTAATATTAAAGATTAAACCAGAGTGTCTACTTGGTGCCTTTTGTCATCTTTGACACCCAAAGATTAAATAAAAGTCCTAAAGATTGAATAAAAGTCCTAAAGACTAAATAAAAGTCCTAAAGATTAAATAAAAGTCCTAAAAATTAAAGCTTTTTACGCCACTGTATTTATTTTACAACTATATTTACTTTTCAGATTCTTGTTTTAATCAGATTTTATGAAATATTTATACAGTAAACAAAGTATTTATAACATCCTACAACATTTAAATTCTTCTGTAATAATAATCAATAATATAGATTATATGATAATATAAAACTCTGAAGTCATTTTATGTAATAAATACTTTTATGTTTGATATAAGTAAACTTTTTAATGCAGGATCAACTGTAGATCCCTGAGGGCAATATTACTCAAATATTCCTATTAAATATATAAATGTCAGCAGTATTTGGCTCTTATATATATTTATATTATACAGAATATACTATATTTATATTATACAGAATATACTGACTATATATAGGATTACAAGCTTAAAGTTTACTTATAGTTTAACTTATTATCTGTTGTGGATAATGTGCCACCATTATTTTTATTATCTATTAAATCTGTCGATTAGTTTATCAATTAATTGTTGAATAATTTCCTCAATAGAAATATATAGTAAATTACCAATCAACTAAACTTGTCTAAAATCCAACATATTTGATTGATTATCACTTAAGACTTAAGAAACTCCAATAAACCTATCAGGCTAGCTGTTTCCCCCTGTTTCCAGTCTTTATGCTAAGCTAAGCTAACAGTAGCTTCATATTTTACCGCACATACACAAGTGTGGTATCAATATTCTCATCTAACTGGAGAAAGTGAATACGTGTATTTTCCTCAATGTCAAACTGTATCTTTAAATAATAAAACTGTATGTTTATCTTCAGCATTGTGATATAAAGTATTCTCTGCCTCCAGTTTCGGGGCAGGATCCAGGACATCCTCCCCAACCTGCCGGCGCAGCACGACCACTACCTCCTGCGCTGGCTCAGAGGTGAGACCTGCAGCCGATCTCACTGTTTAACATTTCCTCAGTGTGGGTACGATGCTGGCACAACAACACACACACAACCATCCAGGTACAAGGTGACTTCTTTAATACACAAAGGTCACCTGCTTAAGATAGAAAATATAAAGAACTGACAAATAATAACAGTAAAAACAAAAGGAAAAAGGTATTTTTACAGTTTAAATTGAAGAAATTAAACTATAAATCACCATTTTCTTGTATGTTTGAGGAAAGACTTCCAGCCTTTTAGCTCTTATATGACTCCTTTATTATCTCCTTCCAGCTTTTGTCCATTTTCAGTCTAATCAGAACATCAAATACAACATTTGCACAGAAATATCTTCTAAACTCAACACAGTTTACCATTCAGAGCCGATATATAAATACGTAAAACTGTCCTGAAGTAAGAGGTTGAGGCAAAATATTGTACTTTTTACTTAATTTGGCAGCTTTTGTTACTTCTCAGTTTACAAATTTACAATAATGTTATGAAATAAAAACCTATTTTGCAGGTAAATCAGTGTTTCCTGTCATATTTTAGATGTCTATGAGTTGTTAACAGTTCCAACAAAGACACATTTCTCCTCTAAACGTCTCACATTGTTTACTTTAAATAACTGTTTGAGGCTCAAAGAGGTAAAATTAGTTAATATTTTAGGGGAAAAAAGCAAAAACCTTTACTAAATGAACATTATGCTGTATGGAAAAAGACTGAAACTACATTTAAAGGCTGCAGAACAACATATTTCTACTACACAAAATGTATTTTTCCATCAGATTTTCCTCTAATCTTAATTATTAAACAATTTTATTTTTTTGTGCCTCAATTCATTCTTATTTTAAATAGTAAAACTGTAGACACACAATCTGGGTTGAGGGGTAGTACAAAAGTACACATACCTTTAAAGGTAAACAAGGTAAAAGGTCAAGAGAGTTATTCACACTCGATACCGAAGCCTCCATTGAAACTGAAACATGGGAACAGGTTTGTTTAAAAGCAGCGTCACAGAGAGCGAGCGTAGCCTCGGGCGTCTGAAACTCTCTGAATAATGACGAGAAGGGAAGCTGTCTGTTGTGTTTCCTCTCATCAGTTCGTCTGTTTACACAAGGTTAAATACTCTATGGAAGCCCAATGTAACAGGAAAAAGGGATTGTATAAGTTATTATAATGAGAAACTTTCTCTAAATATTGACTTTGTGATACAAAAGTCAATATTTAGAGATATATGGTAAAAAATATTGAGAAAGTTTCTCATCATTTTTAGATACTAAGTCACTATTTTGAGATATTATATCAATATTTTGAGGTATTAAGTAAAAAATAATGACAAAGTTTCTGATTATTTTGAGATATTAAGTCAAAGTAATGGCAGAGTTTCTCATTATAAACTTACAAACTAATATCTAATTACTGACTTTAGTCACATTGGCAGAAATGAGCTTCCATATTTCTCACCTTGTGCTGTAGCTTCATATTTCACAGACCGACAATCTTTCCATCTAAATCTGCAACTAAGCAAATGAGCGTTTCCTAAAATAGCAGCTATTGTGTCCTTTACAGGATAATGATAACGGCTGAAACAGTAGAGTCCTTAAGTCAGCTGTTAGCCAACATTAGCTAACATTAGCCCCCATAAGCTGTTTTATTTCTCATTAATTCAACCTTTCATTTTTAAAGGAGAACAGTTGATCATTTATTCTTTCAAAAGTTACCTAATTGATGAACTTTCCAGCCTCCTCTTGGTTAATCAGTACCTTATTTCCTATAACATTCGTCCCTCTGACCCTGTGGCCGTGACAGCGTATAGTATTTACTCGGCCTGGAGGGTTCGACCCACCTGAACTCGGTGGTCTTATCCGACAGTAAATGTTTGCTTTACGCTGAATTCGACCTTCGAGAAAAAGCTGCAGAGATCTGACAACTATTAATAAATAGAATAAGATAATAAAATACAGAGAAACTATCAGTCATAGTGATATTAGCAGAATATTTTGGGTGATTTATGTTGAGTTTCTCGTGTAATCTATTACCTGCACTGTTGTTGAGCTGGTTTTAAGTAACAGGACATGGTGTCTGTTTAGGGGTCCATAGTTCAGGGAGGTTCAGATCAATGAGGGACTCTGTGATTGTGGTTCAATATTTACATTAGCTGTTAACCTCAGACGGCTTCAGGTTTTACTATTGTACGATTGTTGTTAGTCCGGAGAAGCTTAAATCGCTTTGTATTTAATGTAATGTGTAATGTTAATCGTCTAAATGAAGTTCGTGTTGATACAACCGCCATCAGAGAGGCAGAAACTGGACATTTTGAACATTTTGAACATTTTTCACATGTTCACGTTGTTGTTGTGTATTCTGCATATCGTTTATCTGTTGTTTTGGCCCATAAATGTACTAAAGTACCAGTTTGTATTTGTTTCAGCTCAACTTGTATTCATAGCTGTTCAATTTATAACAAAACATCAAATTTTATAAGCTGAATAATTCGTTCTGTTTCCAAAATTTTAATTCCTAAGATGTCAGATAAAGAAAAAAAGGCTGAAATTAAATCATATCTATACCTAATTAATCAGGATGTTTTCTTTCTTTTTGCAGCCCGAAGCTTCAACGTGCAGAAAGCTGAGATTATGATCAGAAAGGTGAGATCTTTAGTGGAACGTTTTTATTGATCAGTGATGTTTATTCGTGTTACTGACCGCTGCCTCTCTCTTTCTCTCTGCAGCACGTGGAGTTCAGGAGGAAGATGAAAGTAGACAGCATCATATCTGACTGGAAACCTCCAGAGGTTAGAATATATATTTATAATTAAAATAGAGAACAATTAAACACTTTTGTTGTTGTTGATTATTATCCTTTGTTTGTGTGTTCAGGTGATTGAGAAGTACGTGTCTGGAGGGATGTGTGGGTACGACAGAGAGGGAAGTCCGATCTGGTACGATGTGATCGGTCCTCTGGACCCTAAAGGTCTCCTGCTGTCCGCCACCAAGCAGGACTTCCTGAAGACGAAGATCAGACACACTGAGATGCTGCAGAGGGAGTGTCGGAGGCAGTCTGAGAAGGTCGGGATCAAACTCTCCTCCTCTTTCTCCTTCTCTTTCTCCTCCTCTGGTCTTCTGTCCTTCCTGACTTGTTTTCTCTCCTGTTCTCTTTTGTTTCCTCCTTTCCTCTCGTTCCATTACCTCTCCTTTTGTTTCATTCTCTCCTGTTTTCTCCTCTCTTGTTTCCTCCATTTGTCTCCTCTCTCTACTTGTCTCTTCAACCTCTTGTTTTTTCCTCTCCTTGTTATCTTTCCTCTCCTCTCCTCCTCTTATTCTCTCTCTTCTCCTCTCATCACATCTCCTCTCCTTGTTACTTGTCCTTACCTTTCGTCTCGTCTCATCTCCTCCTCTTATTTCCTCTTACCTCCTCTCCTTGTTACCTTTCCTTTCCTCTTATTTCCTCTCCTCTCTCTTCCTCTCCTCTCCTCTCCTCCCCTGAAATGTCTCCCTCTGTGTCTCAGTTGGGGAAGAACATTGAAGCCATTACTCTGATCTACGACTGTGAAGGACTCGGACTCAAACACATTTGGAAACCTGCTATTGAAGCTTATGGAGAGGTTTGTTTGTCAGATACTCCGGATTCATCTGTCCACTGATACACTTACATTATATTTAACATATAACATTAAATCCCTGTATCTCATACTGACTCTGTTCCTCTGCTGCAGATCCTCACCATGTTTGAAGATAACTATCCAGAGGGGCTGAAGAGAGTGTTTCTTATCAAAGGTACGTCTGCACTATTGAGCTTGTCTGACGTGTTTGTCATTCTTCCTTTTTCCTGATTTTCCGTCTTTTGCTGCAGCTCCCAAGATGTTTCCGATGGCCTACAACCTCATCAAACACTTCCTGTGTGAGGAAACGCGACGCAAGATCATCGTTATAGGAAGTAAGGCGACTTTTTGTAACCCGGACGCTAGCAGCTCTGTGAGGCTGTACTTTGACATTGTTTTTATCACATCTTCTGTAATGCGCGATAAAGGCAAAGGCGTGCATTGTTTCTCAAATGCGTTACAACTAAAGTAATGAGCCTGTTTTAAAATGTAAGAAGTAGAAAGTTCAGATATTTGTGTAAAAATGTAGAGAGTAAAAATCAAAAGTTGTCACAAGAATAAATACTCAAGTAAAGTACCAGAAAAAACTACTTAAGTACATCTCAGCTGCTGCTGTGTGACTGTCAAGCTAACTTTAGGAACCAATCGGTCACTGTCACAAGCATCATTTACCAAACCAGATGATTGAATTGTGGAGAATCTAACTGATCTATTGATATGTAGTTTAAACATTTATATTTGTGTAGGCGATCTAAGCATCTTAGAACTCAACCCGGTGGGCTTTAAGAGGTTTTATACATCCAAAGAACTTCTGATTGCCTAATTGTGACCAAAAGAGGTCTCGGAAGAGAACTGAAGTCTCACAGTATTTCATGGTGACCCATCCAATAGTTGTTGAGATATCAGTCTGGACCAAAGTGGTTGACCGTTTACCTAAATTATACCTCAAATATACACATTCCTCTGTTTATAGGTAACTGGCAGGAGGTGTTACGTAACCATATTGACCCGGATCAGCTTCCTGTGGTGTACGGAGGAACCCTGACTGATCCTGATGGAGACCCTCGCTGCAGAACGATGGTGAGAAAAACACTGGTGGAGGAGGAAGAGTTTTCTGAATGGTCTGGATGGAAATGATGGATGTTTTGTTGTTGTTGTTGTTGTTGTTGTAGCTGAAGTACGGCGGTACAGTGCCCCGGTCGTACTACATTCAGGACTCGGTGAAGGTTCAGTACAACAACAGTGTGACCATCAGCCGCGGATCGATCTTCCAGCTGGAATATGATGTTACAGCCCCCAGCAGCCTCTTGAGGTAAGATCGACCGGTAGATCGAGAGCTTCGCCTTTCGGCTCAACTCTCTTTTTGTGACAACTGTTTGATAAAGGGATCGTAAAACTGCCCCTGCTGCCACAATTCTCCGGCCAATCTCCTGCTCCATTCTAATAATAATCTTCAATAATCT